AAAACTGTTTCGGCTGGTACGCCCAACAAATTATTGTGTGGGAAATTACCAACACTAGGAATATCAAGGAGATAATTAAAGAAAAAAAAGAAGAAGATAAAAAATATAGTAGTACGTAAATAATATTCGATGAAAATAATAATATATAAATGATGCCTTAACCTATGTTAGTACCCTTAAATCAGGCGATCACAAAACGATCCACCGTAATAAATACAGCATACATAAAATAGATCATCAGTAATAATAATAATAATTCAATACATAATATGCAACATAAACGTTGTAACAATGATATCAATAATATATAAATAATAACAATACTATCACGGTACGACCTGATGATGGTGATATTATGGCACGGCGGCGGAACAGCTGGTCTATATGACGACGGTGTGATTTTCGTGTATGTGTGTGTGTGCTGAGATTACACAATCGAACGGCTGGCTCGCGCTGCGCTTTCGCGGACGGGCGATAATGATGAGCCGTAAAAGCACTTAATGCATTCGCACTGCGACGAGGGACGGGCGATAATGCAGAAAAACGAATGAATTCCGGACACTCGGACTGACGACGATATTTCACGCGTTTTTTAAGACGTGCGTACTAGCGTGTAGAGCATTGTAATATTTGCGTAATATTTGCGTAATTGATGGTTGCACGAGCAGCCGATCGCGACGCACTCGTCAGGGCAACCACACCGGTACTAATTTCCCTCCGCTGTGTCCATGTCACCGTGGACGGTCAACCGACAGATAAGCTTATCTGCCGTTTGGTGGTGGCTCGGCATGTACGCTGATTGTGGCGTCAACATACTCCCCCTTTGGAAGACTAAGGTCCTTTCAAAATGAGGTCGAGGCGTAGTTGAGGAAAATCTGATACATTTTTGAATAATAACATAACATACAAAATATAGGTACATAATAAAAAAAAGAAATGGACGAGACAATGGAGTACATAGGAATGTATATATATTTTTTTAAGTTGTGGGAAGAAGGGCTAATTTGACCACGGGCCGCTTGAGGGTGCCATCGCTGGTGCGGAGACTAACTACCCTTACGACTCCATCTTCTCCGGGGTGGACCTCTTCGACCCGTCCCATTTTCCACAGTGTAGGTGGCAAATTCGGTGCCTGCACTAGCACAAGATCACCAATTGTGACGTTAGACTGTGGGCGGTGCCATTTGGATCGAACTTGTAATGACCGCAAGTAATCTATCGACCAGCGTTTCCACAGCGATTGATGGAATTGATCTAACAACTGCCATCGATGGAGACGGTTCATCGGAATTTGCGTCACGTCGGAATTAGGCAGCGCGACGAGGGGCGCACCTATGAGAAAGTGACCGGGTGTTAACACTTTTAAATCGTTCGGATCAGACGAAAGAGGTGTTATTGGTCGCGAGTTTAGTATAGCTTCTATTCGGTGAGTTATGGTGCACATTTCCTCGAACGTTAACACTTGGGTGCCAATTACCCGCTTCAGATGGTGTTTCATGGATTTGACAGCTGCCTCCCACAATCCCCCGAAGTGGGGAGCAGCCGGTGGGTTGAAGTGCCATTGACATGGAATGGCAATGGAAAAGATGTTTTGTGCTTCAGGACCTGACCACAGCCGACGCAGTTCAGACGCAGCACCTTGAAAGTTAGTACCACAGTCTGAATATATTTCTGACGGTATTCCTCGACGTGCCACAAAACGTTGTAATGACGCCAGAAATGCCGTGGTTGTGAGATCAGAGACCACTTCGATGTGAACCGCTTTTACCGCCATGCAAATAAAGATCGCCACATAACATTTCGTAGATCGTGCGTTCCGACGCTTACTTTCTTTGACCAATAACGGTCCTGCATAATCTACACCGACGTTGGAGAAGGGCCTAGATGGGCACACTCGTGGGGATGGAAGGTCCCCCATCAAAGTTTTGACCATTGATGCTCGGTGTCTAGTACAAGTAACACACTTATAGATAACATAACGGATAACTGATCGACCTGACACAATCCAAAATTGAGTAGATAACAAAGACGCCACAAGCTGGGGCCCAGCGTGCATGTAGGTTACATGATAGTGTTGAATCAATAGTGACGCCAGCGCGCTTGACTTTGGTATTAACATTGGGTACTTAAAATCATCCGGTGCACTTGAACGGCGCAATCGTCCACCCACGCGTATGATTCCAGATTCATCGATGAACGGGGTGAGAACAGCTATTGACCGAGGTTTAATTAACGATGAAGAAGACGACATAAGATTGAATAAGTGTGGAAAGTGGTTACGTTGCGTTATTTGGACTAGTGTCTTTTGAGCCTCACGAAGTTCTTCATGTGTCAGGAATCCTGTAAGCATAGGTGGATGTTCGTCACATCGATGCGTGGGATTTCGTTGTTGTGACTTGTGACGAGCTTTGACTATGAAGCGTCGAATATAAACAACTACTCTCTTCAAGCGAGTTAATGATGAGAATTTGTCAAGCCAATCGTTCTCCGTTGTCGGAGTAACACTCACGTGAAGGGTCTCTGCAACGGTTTTCTGTTCAGGTAATTCCGTGACTGGAATTTTTTCAAATTGTGATGACGTCCAACTTTCAGGTGACTGTTGTAAGAAAGATGGACCATCCCAGTATAGATTGTGTTGCAACGCCTCGTTAGGAAGTAAGCCACGGGACACGCAATCAGCTGGGTTTTGCAATGATGGTACATATCGCCACTGACCAGAGGGCAGAAGTTCGTTTATCTTGTTAAGCCTGTTTGTAACAAATACTTTGAATGTAAGTTGCCGAGTTGTCAGCCAAGACAATACCACTGTCGAGTCTGTCCATGCATGAATGGACGATATGTGGATGATTGACGATAGATTCGACTGTGCACGGTGTAGTGTTTGAGCTAATAGCAATGCCCCACATAATTCCAGCCTTGGTACCGAAAGCGATTCGTCCAATCGACTGTTCTTTAACGGCGCAACCTTCGATCTTGCTGTAAGTAAATGCACAGTGCCGGATCCTGCCCCATATGATAATCGCAGGTACACGACCGCAGAATATCCCCTTTTGGATGCATCGGAAAAACCTATTAGTTGAGCTTCAGTACACTGTTCAATAGGAATATATCTCCTGAGTTTAACTCGTGAAACCGAAGGCAACTGTGTAGAGAATGAATTCCACGAGACAGCCAAGTCGTCGGGGATTGATTGGTCCCAGTCATATCCATTTCTCCATAAAAGTTGCATGAAGCACTTAGCCCAAAAGGTAATGGGTGCTAAGGCTCCGAGTGGGTCATAAATTTTGGCTATTGCGGATAACACTAAACGTTTTGTTGGTCGCGAGCCGCATGGGTCACTATGATAACTGAACATGTCGGTCGCCGGATCCCAATGTAGCCCCAGAATTTTGATTGAACAGTCGTCCTTTGGGTCGAATGATAAATCCACAACTTGGTCGTCCTTTGGTATATCTTGGAGAACTTGTGGACAATTGCTTGCCCATTTTTTCAGCTCAAATCCACCTTCACCTAACAGACCTACAAGTTGCTTCTGCAGCGACATGATTTGTTCTATTGAGGATGCTCCGGTTATAATGTCGTCGACATAAGTCTGACTGGATAATATCCCTTGTGCCGCAGGATATTTTGAACCTTCATCTAATTCTAATTGATGCAATACACGGATGGCTTGAAAGGGAGAAGAAGACACTCCATATGTCACTGTTGACAAGGCATACTCCTGTATGGATTCAGATGGATCGTTTCGCCACAAGATGTGCTGATAGGAACAATCTGTCGCTGACACCTGTATTTGCCTATACATTTTGCATATGTCTGCCGTCAACATATATACATGGAAACGGCATCGCACTAGTAGATCTGATATATCGCATTGTAATTTGGGTCCAATGAATAACAGGTTGTTTAATGATGTTCCGGAGGATGTAGTGGCAGACGCATCAAATACGACTCTTAATTTGACTTTGCCATTTGTTCTTTTGACCACTGCGTGGTGTGGAATTATATAGTTGCCTGGAGTTTGTGCGATCTTCATGTGACCAAGCGTTAGATACTCCTTCATGAACGATTTATATTCCTCATAAATAACAGGATCAGCGATTAATTTTCGCTCCAAATTGAAAAATCTTGATAATGCCATTGACCGAGACTCACCAAGAACAGAAGGATTGGTTTTGAATGGAAACGATACGGAATACCTCCCCAGCGGATCTCTTGCAGTGGTGCGGCGGAAAATCTCTTCACATTTCTGTTCTTCTGTGAACGGATCAGGATGAACAACAGGCTCCTCGACTTCCCAAAATCGATTCAGCAATTGTTTGAGTGACGGTTCAGTGGTCAATGACAGGGATGTTTGCGATTGAGAAGAGACTGAAGATGCCGCGGAGCCGACAATAATCCAACCTAATGTTGTCTCGAAAGCAGAAGGCAACTCTGGCGTATGGCGTACGTGGTAACCGTTTACGAATATGTGGTTGTACACGTCGGCGCCCAATAAAAATTCAATCTGTCCTGGACGATCGAAATTTGGATCTGCGAGTTCAAGATCCATGTACTGATTTCGGATGGAAAAATCCAATACTTTCGATGGCATCAGCCCGGTGATCTTGGATAGTACAACGGGTTCACAAGTTAGCTTCTGATCTTCTCGCCTGAGTGGCACTATAGTGCACACGACTACGCCTTTTGCCTGCACTATAGGGCTCTGTGACAATCCAATTACATTAATTTTACGATTGCAACGAGTAAGCCCAAGCCGCGACGCGCATTTTGTTGTTATAGCAGATATTTGTGATCCGCAATCTATTAGAGCCCGAACTGGTACCCACTGGCCCTGTTGGTTGCATATCCGAATAATAGCTGTGCCCAGAACACTCAGATTGTCAATGCTAGCGGTACCTACGAATGACGCTTCGTCAGTGGCTGGTATGGTACCAGACGGGGTTCCCGAAGACGTTGAGGCCGAAGGCACCTTATTATGTAGGTTATTGCCAGTCGGACGCTTTCGTGGTTCGAAGTGCAACAGCGAATGATGTTTGCCGGAACATGTACGACATGAATACTTTGACGGACATGCGGAGGCCGTATGTGAACCACTGAGGCAATTCAAACACATATTGTTGGATCTCACCAGCTGGGATCGCGCTGATGTTGGTAGTCCCTTGAACTTCTCACATTTGTATACATAGTGTGGCCCTTGACACGCATAGCAGTTAGGCTCACGCTCCTTGGTGGCAGCCAGCAAAGACGATTTTGATATTACCTGTCTTCGTCGCGTAAAGGGTGTAGGTGTCTTTTCAGATATGGTCATCGAACTGTTCTGAAGGATTTTGCACCGAGTTTGAATAAATTTTAACAAATCACTTATCGTAGGGAGAGCATGCGTGCCTTGGTCAGCTTCAAACAAACGCTTTGTCGGATTATCCAGAACACGCGACGCGATATAAAATAATAAAAAACCAGCCAAATCATGCACGCCTAGAGCCTGTATCGCTGCTATATTCTCCTGGAACACATTTAGGAAATTATTCAAATCATTCAACGATTCATTGTGGATAGGAGCAAATCCGAATAGCTTGTCCAAATGGGCGTGAAGTATCAGACGCGGGTTGTCAAATCGATCATGCAATGCGTTCCACGCCACTTCATAGTTGGGACCAGTGAGAGGGATCGATTTGACCACAGCAGCAGCAGGTCCAGAGACCGAGGATATTAAATAATGAAATCGCTCAACGTTAGTAAGGTCCTGATTCTCGTGGACAAGTGAATCAAATGTGTCGCGATAGGATCGCCAAGTAATTAAATCGCTGTTGAAATGTGGTAGCGAAATTTTTGGTAGGTTGATGTGAGAACCTGATTTTACTACCGTCTCTGATTTACAGCAAGCAACCGCGCCAGCCACGGCTTGTATAGAATAATATTGGTCCGTGACAACGGTTTCAATGTCAGTATGTTCGCGCTCAAACGTATCCATGAGCCCTAGCTCTGACATTTTCTCCATAACGTCATCCTGGTCAACACGAAAATCTGCCATGAGTGATTCTAAATCTCGATTACGCGCAATGAACATTGGTAATGATGCCGGATCAGAATCTACTGTCTGTGATAATTTGAACAGGATTAACATCTGCCTAACATGCTTGTCGCGCTTAGAAATAGCACGCTGTAAATGTCGTTCCAAACGTTGTTTTTCTTGTGCATCCATAATGAATTGTTAATAGAACTGTGTAAAGAAAACAGCCGCGATAAGATGACGTATTGTCTCCACGGCTAATACACACGACTATTCGACACTGTTATAATATAAGCAGACTTAAGACAGATTACATACTTTGATATCTGAGAACTAAGCTTCACTTATTTCTCGAACACTATTACATACACTAATTAAAAGTGGACTGTATTTCGATATCCGGCCCGAAGGACCAAATGTTTCGGCTGGTACGCCCAACAAATTATTGTGTGGGAAATTACCAACACTAGGAATATCAAGGAGATAATTAAAGAAAAAAAAGAAGAAGATAAAAAATATAGTAGTACGTAAATAATATTCGATGAAAATAATAATATATAAATGATGCCTTAACCTATGTTAGTACCCTTAAATCAGGCGATCACAAAACGATCCACCGTAATAAATACAGCATACATAAAATAGATCATCAGTAATAATAATAATAATTCAATACATAATATGCAACATAAACGTTGTAACAATGATATCAATAATATATAAATAATAACAATACTATCACGGTACGACCTGATGATGGTGATATTATGGCACGGCGGCGGAACAGCTGGTCTATATGACGACGGTGTGATTTTCGTGTATGTGTGTGTGTGCTGAGATTACACAATCGAACGGCTGGCTCGCGCTGCGCTTTCGCGGACGGGCGATAATGATGAGCCGTAAAAGCACTTAATGCATTCGCACTGCGACGAGGGACGGGCGATAATGCAGAAAAACGAATGAATTCCGGACACTCGGACTGACGACGATATTTCACGCGTTTTTTAAGACGTGCGTACTAGCGTGTAGAGCATTGTAATATTTGCGTAATATTTGCGTAATTGATGGTTGCACGAGCAGCCGATCGCGACGCACTCGTCAGGGCAACCACACCGGTACTAATTTCCCTCCGCTGTGTCCATGTCACCGTGGACGGTCAACCGACAGATAAGCTTATCTGCCGTTTGGTGGTGGCTCGGCATGTACGCTGATTGTGGCGTCAACAAAAACCTTACCAGAAAGTCACATTAATTTGTGTTGAGACTTAACTAGATAAATGTATGTATAAAATGTATGCTGTATGATGTCAAAAAATCATTGGGGGTAAAATAAATGTTACCCCCTCTCGAATAAGTAATTGGGGCAACACTGAAAACTATATGCCACGATCACATACCTACTATTGTCAATAACTTCAGTGACGTTATATATTTATATTTATAATTATTATTATATTATTATGACGCATAATGACCTAGATGTCGATGAATTTAAGATCAATAAAAAAAAAAACTCTGTCGTACAAAAAATTGATAATATTATGCTGTGGTGGCTAGTACATAAAAAATAAATATAATATTATGTGTAATATAATAATAGGTTAGGTTAGCTGGTTAACTGCTGGCTACAAATATTATTATTATTATAATAGGAAGCTGGTGACTAGTATATTGTTTATTGTTGTCTACAAATCACATAATATAACATTATGCTCTGATTCATGAGTCACGACGATCCGCCATCAATCTCGTTGGACGCTGTACACCAGAAGGCCACAGGGATGGAGCGAATTTTTCGAGTCAAAATAATGCACCCAAAGTTGTCGTATTGAGGAGCGGCCAGTACCACCGAATCGATAAAAAAAAAAAAAATAAGAGAGAACTGAAAAACGTTACTATTACGATAGGTTTATATATTATTTTAACTACAGACATAACACAAAAAAACGGATAGCTGCGATAAGTAAGCACTTATATGCTGGCCTCACCTGTGATTTCGACATTTCGTTGCGTTTAATATATTTTCAGGTTTGAGTGATTCGATTCTAATGTTACTACGATCTATGACGTGTAGTACACCGTCAGTTATGTCGGGCGGTCGCAACAGATGTCTTTAAACGTAAACACGACTGGCGACTTTCACTGACAGCTGCCAAACGAAATAGGTACCTATAGTTAAATTGGTGCACATAATATGGGCCCACCAATAATACTGCACTCACTACCAATAGTCAATACTGAAACATCATAGCTTAGAAGCACTAGCTTAGAAGCACCAGCATAAGTAAGCACTTATGCTGGCCTCACATGTCATTTCGACATTTCGTTGCATTTAATATATTTTCAGGTTTGAGTGATTCGATTCTAATGTTACTATGATCTGTGACGTGTAGTACACCGTCAGTTATGTCGGGAGGTCGCAACAGATGTCTGTAAACGTAAACACGACTGACGACTTTCTCTGAAAGCTGCCAAACGAAATAGGTAGGTACCTACAATTAAATTGGTGCACATATAATATGGGCCAACCAATAATACTGAACTCCAGTGGCGTTTCCTGACTTTCGGCGTTAGGCGTTAATGTGTGAGGAAAACAATTAGGAAAACAACCCCCCTTATGGGAAATAAATTCGTATCAACTATTAATAATCAACATATTATTAAAATTATTTATTATATATTATGTTTTCGACGATCGGCGTTGCAGTCTTGCAGTATAGTACCTATGGGCTACGACGTAAACAGGATAACGTGCAGCCGCGACGATCCCCACTAACGGTCCAAACACAGTGTATAAGCTGGCGCTAGACTAGTGACTAATGAGTAGTGGCTAGTCGCTAGTCGTTAATTTCATTTTCAACGACTTGGTCTAGTATTAACATGGCACCGAAGTTATCCGAAAATATCACGACAAATTACGAATATGAGATATTAGATACCACAAGTCGTTGTTCGAATCATTAACGTCCTACACGGCTACACCCTACACAAACACAACATAATACAATATTATTCCGTAATCGGCGTCGTAGCTGCAGACGGCGCGGGCGCATGGTCGAGTTTAGAGCTTAAAATAGACAATAGTTTATTATTTGATATTATTATTTTTACATGACAATTATTTTAAGATTTTGTAAATACAATAAAATTATATAACCATGTAATATACTAATATGAATTACAAATTACAATATTACACACATGTATGACATCAATGTTTAGGGCGTTAACACACAACTTGCACACCCGGAGAAAACGCCACTGCTGAACTCACTACCAATAGACAATAATGAAACATCATCGCTTAGATGACTGACGAAAAAGCAATTTGTACAACTGTACAAGTATGTATAGGTACCTACTACCTACCTAGTTAATAGTTTTTTCATATACATACGGCCTGGTTCTCCGCCCTCTCTCAGACAAATAAAATCGAAAACATCCATCGACGACGCTCAAAGCTGTTTCTTATTTAGGATTTAAGCGACTGTGGATATGAACTAAAATTAAGTTTTACTGGTAGGTACCTAGGTACATGTTAAATAAAACATGAGACGGGCTCAACAAATGTCAGTGTACCGTTGGCTTAAAATTTAAAATATCGTAAAAAATTAACTAGAGTGATCTAACACAGATAATGTTCCTTTCTAAACATTTGATAGTATGGCTATTCACTCTAATGTCAAAACGAACAGCGCACTATTGAAATTAGTGAACAAAGATTAATTTCTGTCGTAAAACGGACCCAACATATGCAAGTACGACGTCTTCTTAAGTTTCACAAATTCGAAATATTAAGTATGATAAATTAGTATCTTCTATATATCAGTAATAAACAAAAATTAGATACAACTCCCAACTGTAGGTATAGGATCTGCAGATGTATCTTAGAAATACTCAAAGCGCATTCACATTAAAATGCAGTTTAAAAGACTGTCAAGCTAACTGTGACATTTATAAACAATTTAATTTTATGATATCTCAATTATAAATTATTTTTTAACTTATCATTGTGAGCGGTGACTTATTAGATTATTACTTGGACACCAGTGAACAGCACGGTTCAATAGACGGTCAGAAACACTGTGTGCGGGTATTATTGTTAATATTTTTGATGCAACTATATTGGGTTAATATTTTGACCGTATTGTAGTGATCGCCGTGCAGGACACGTTGATCATAAATACAATTAATTATTTAAACGACGTGGCACGTCGCCGCCAGTCTTGAGATGATGTGTTGACAGTAAGATAGGTAAATGAATAAACACTGACACGTATTATTATTATTAAATAAAATAAAACAATTTATTGTTATACGTTAAGGGGTATGCATACCGATCGTTTCTAAGGAGTTCAATATAGGTAATTTTCTAATTGTGTGCACGCGGGTCGTGTAAATGTATGCGTAGTAAGTGATTATTAGTGTGAGTGACTGTGTATAAAATTAATAGTGGAGCACACCCGCACGTACACTCACATGTCGGTAACGTAACATTTTACACTCTAATTACAAATGTGAATTTTAGTGAAACACTGAAACTTAGTTTCGTATTTCCATAATAGAGCTAACTGAGTGCCATTACAGTATAAACCTATGACCTACTATACAAATTGGAGAGAAGAAGCATATCTAGGCTTTTATAGGAGTCGATTTTTGATATTTTATTTTCAACGTCCAATATTAAACTCTAAAACTTGTGATATTTTACTTTTTAAAATTGCGTTTAGTAATTACAAATATCAAAAATTGACTTCTATGCAGGCACAGGTCAACTTCTCATCTACAATTCTGATAATAGGTGTTTTTACTCTCAAACGGCTCAATAAACCATATTATTGGAAATACAAAAGTACATTTTCATAGATTTTTTCAATACTATTCATACCCCTTAAGACACAAATATAATAAAAAGTGCATTGTCGTAAGCGTGTGTGTTAAGCCCTTGAGCAGTGCTGACTACCTTCTCTAAGTAATCGTAAGTGCTCTAGTGCTCTACCCGTATTTATACGGGTTCTACTTATGACGTATTGTGGAGTGATATTAATTTGTTCTAATTTTATTCCCCAATACTGCTGGATCGCATTATTATGCGACAAGGCGGAAAACCACTTGTTGCTTTCACCTATGAACTCTATTTCCCGTTAAGTAGGCTTTTGAACACTTTTCGTGTTACTTATTTATAAATTATAT